GCAGCTTCAGCTGCTCTTTTCTCCTCCTCTTCTTTCCAGCGTCTTTCTTCTTCGGCAGCCCTCGCAGCCTCTTCCTCCTGCAATTTCCTCGCCAGCAACTTCGCCTCCTTTTTCCTTTGCTTTTCGATCTTTTCCTCCTCCTTTCTCCGAAGAATTCTAGGGTCCCGCTTATATGCGTTGTCAACCAGAGCCCGAATACGTCCATATTCTTCTTTCTTCGCTTTCTCTCTAAGCTTCGCATTCTGCCTCTCCATCCATCGTTTATGATCACGGGACTCGGCCTGCTCCAGATCGAACTCATCTGCATGAGGGAACTCTCTCCAACTCTTAAAACCATACCAGAAGTTGTAGAAGCTGTCCACTTCAGCCATTACAGTTTTCTCTTCCCCTAAAGAGGGAACAGGCTGAGTTACAGACCACCTCGCATTCCTCAAGAATGCTAGGCCGAATACCTTGAAGAAGTCCTGTGGTTCGCATTCGGTGGGAATTTCATCATCGAACTCATCCGTGGAGTCATAGATCCTTCTCTTTATAGGATCTATTAGAATCTCATATGCTTCTTGAACGGATTTGAAATGGTTTTCGATCTCATCCTTCTTCGCTTGTTTGGCGGCGTCTGTTTCTTCGGCCAGAAGAAGAGCAGCCTGCTTATCGGGGTGATATTTCAAGGCAGTCTCGCGGTAACATTTACGTATCTGCTCCTCGGTGGCTAGAAAACGCAAATGCCCTAACCCTAACAGTGCATAATGATCTTGTTGCTTGTCACCGGAACCAGATTTCTTCTTTTTCGCTTTGTTGCTGTAGAAATCTGACGACGGCATATATGATTGATTTCGGTCATCGGACAATACGCTCTGTTCATCTGTGTCTGTTTCGTCTTCTTCATAGTATCCGAGAAGTTTAAGTGCGGCCGAATGAAATGCATGGCCTGCAGGTTCGTATTTTAAGGCTTTGACAGGAAGGCAATTTGATGAGGAAATCATTGGCTCGCCATCTCGAAGCTCTTCTGAATAGGTGATAAGCGGAGGGTTCTTCATGCCATTCATGATGAAGAAGGTAGAAGAGACCATTGTGCTTCTTGGAGACGGGAACTTTTATAAGGAACTTCTGATGCCGAGTTTTCTGTATTAGAAATGCGAATTAATGAACATCAAGGTTCGAAATAAGCACATTTTCACATATAAAACTGTGCACCTAGCAATATGTATTGGAGCAGTGAACGTAGAGCAGAACTTTTGGGAAAATTTTTTGATCTATTTACAATGGATGCCAACCAATTCTTATGTATTTCTTCAAAGAAAAAAAAAATTCTGAGTGGAAATACTTAAATTGCATACCACCCAATTTTTATGTATTTACGTTTCTAAATCTAAAATTTATTTTTTTCTATAATATCAAATATATCATTAATTTAATTTTTATATATTATTTATTTATTTCAAGCGAAAATGAGACAAACTCGATTGAACAAATTCTTGTCCGTGTTCGGCTCATTTATAAATCAAGTTAAAAAATTTGTCCATGTTCAGCTCGCTTGTTTAATAAACGAATAAACCAATAGAACACAAGCTACTTACCACCTGCTTTTTTGGCAGCCCTATCCATGTTCATTTTTAATCCACTAAAGTTAACTTACTACTAGTCAACCTAGCTAATAAAGCATTCACAGAAATCAGGTTGTTACAATTAACGACAGAAATTCTAAAAGCCATCATGCACACCCAAATGATCGTTCCAAAGGTTCATACATCAGGCTGAAATCAAGCGACTCCTAATTTTCCAGTGTAAAAAATTCAGAAAAAAAA